AGCATTGCTAGAAAACCCTCATTGTGAAAAGCACTGTTAGCTGCCTTGAAGCACATGGAATGGGACGTAACTAAGAAGTAATATAGGAAATTGCCTTTTACGACGTCAGTTACTGGTTGTTTAGCCTGGGACCGGCTTCTCTGACTGATGATAGCATTCATAGGGGTCTCAGGAAGAGAGGGCCCCAACACATTCAGTCTAATCAACGTTATAATTCCCCTGTAATGGATAACACAGGACAACCCTCTTCTGCATATTTTTTTTCATTTTTCACTGCAAACCTCAAATACCAAAGGTATGCATTAAATACATAGTGAATGGATGCAACAAATCGTGTTTGTAAACACGTGCATCTTATGAATTTGTACATCAGCCTGACAAAAGTGCATGAAACAGCATGCTACGTAGTTATGAGCCAGGCAACAAGCAGAGGTGGCTGAGTCCTGGGGTCACTTCCAACTTGACAGGAGTCTATGAAAGACTGAGAACACCCCTGACACATTCATATTTATGCGCTGGGCCTCTGCAAAAACTCATGCTCATCTCTCCCAGTGAGCTGCATTTTCAGTATTCATCACACGATAAGTAATTCTTAAGATGCCTGTGCAGCCATAAATGAAAGATCACACAGGACCATCCACGCAGAGGTATCACTGAGGCTTGCAAGATACTGGGGTGAAAATGTGGAAAATGTAAAACAAGAACCTAAATCTTGAAAACAGCCGGACAACCACAACCCAAGAAGAGATATAACGAAGCAAAAGGAGAGATATAATGAAGCTGACATCTCCAACTCCACCTGCGAGGTTCAGCCTGGGGTAAACTCTTTCTGACAACCTCTTTCACTGTTGTGGGCATCAGACCGCTCTTGCTCTCTTAGGGTGGACCAAAGAGGAAGCCGAAAGGCCAAGAAACAGCCAGAGGCTGAATGGCAGAAGGGCGGCTAGGACATGACCAGCCCCTGCTGCAACGTACAAAAACCCCAGCAACAGAGTGTATGTCCAACAGGTAAAGCTGTTCTCCATCATTGCATCATTTATTGCGGGCAACAAAGCCAGGACTTAAATTATTATTAAAGTTATAAAAGCCAGGAGTTCCCAAATGCCAACCCCGCCCTAGAAAAAGGAGAACGGGAACATGCCTTATTCTGAAACAGATACGAAGAGAACACAGAGCATTTCTTTTCCGGCTCCCCGTATGCATGTGCGCACACACCTCTCTATACATTCAGACTATATGTCAGATGGGGAGCCCTGGCAGGCTATACACACACACACACACACACACACACACACACACGACACCCCACCGAAAGCTTGTGACATCCCCTCCTAGGATCCCCAACCAGCAGCTGGGAGTGAGGAGTCCAACACGTCTGGAGAGAAACCGGGTGTGCCAACCAGCGACACAACCTATGCCGTGTCAAAGGGGCAGAACCGGGACAAAGTTAACCAAAGAAAAGCACACACACCCAAGGAGGTGTCAAAGAAGACGAACTCTGCGCTGAATAATCAGGCTGTTCGCTGAATAATCAGGCTGTTTGAAACACGCGAGGTTTGGTCATGCGGGACCCACATGCGGGACCCACCTCTCCGCAGATTCATCCCTTCCGGTCTAGCCCAGGGGGGGCCTGGAGGTGCCCAGCCATACCTGAATACAGGTAGGGTCATGCTCCGGATCCCAGAGTCACGGCCGGCCCTCTTGGGGGGGCCTTTCCTCACTTACTCCCGAGGAGGACGCGACGCTGCGGCATCCCCTCCCACTTCGGCGCTTCCCGACGGCCCCGAGAGGCCACCTCAAAGGCAACTGGAGAGATGGGTGCGCATATGAGAGGCAGAGCATGTTCTGCCCAGGTGCCAAGCGGGGCGGGGGGGGGGGGGAACCTGCACCCGCCTCTCTCGCGCCTGCCTCCAGGCATCCCCCCACAGAACCCCGCGCCGCTGCCCCTTGGCTGCCCAGCCCACCCGGGCGGAATTACCGAGAAGGCACTGAGCAGGGGCGGGCAGGCATAGGTGCCTCCCGGACGCCGGGCTGGGTCATCCGCGATACCCTCCGAAGGTGACCGAACTACACCTCCCAGCATCCCTTGCCCCCGCCCTGCTGGCCGGGGCTGCTGGGGGCTGGGTGTCGGCCCCGGCTGCCCCC